ATTTCATTGTAATATTTATTTAATATAGTACCAATTAATTCTTGTGATAGACCAGCATTTATCAAGCTATTGGTTACCTCGTCCATATTAATATTATTTATGTTTTTCAAATTAGATATTAATTCCTTGTAAAGTGGTGTTTTTTTTTGTTTATTATTGGTTACTGCTGAAATCAAAAAATACAATTCCTTTATCTAAGAATACAAAGAAAAATATATGTATCACTAGACGAAATAATTGACATTATTCCAGTATTACTATAAAAGCAACATATCCAGGCTTATTGTTAAACATGAACATTATACATACTATAGTATGTAGAGAAGTTTATTTATTTATTTTTAAAAGGCTAAAAAGTTGGTTAGAATCTATTTTGTTAGATAGGAGGTTATTCAGGAAGGAGAGGTTTGATTTGTGCCGCCGATCTGCAAGACTGGAGAGATGTAGGGTTAAAAGAAAAGGAGAGTAATCATGAGGAGTGTGAGGGATATTGAGGCGAAATGATATCAGGTTTAAATATTTTCTTTGGGCCCTTTCTAGTGATGCCCTTGCACAAGCCGTTTGGGGATCTAAAGAACATAACCGTATTCTAGGATGGGGCGAACAAGGGAAGTGTAGAGAGTTTTTAAGGGGGTTGGTTAATTTANCCGTTTGGGGATCTAAAGAACATAACCGTATTCTAGGATGGGGCGAACAAGGGAAGTGTAGAGAGTTTTAAGGGGGTTGGTTATTTTTAATTCTTGAGAAATACGGGAAATGAACCCAAGGAGTTTGAGGGCTTTGCAGGAAATGTGTTGGATATGTTTGTTAGGAGAAAGGTTGTGTATAAAAATAAACCCGTGATCACGTATTGACTCAGAGGAACGAATTAAAGGAATGTTATTTATAGAATAAGGAAAAACAATGCGAGAATTAAAACGGAACAATGACATGATTGAGCATTTTTTAATTTAGAGAGTATTTAATTAGTAAACATTTATTAGAGCTTTAAATAAATTTAAATAATGTATTAAATTTTCTATAAAAAAATTAAATGTAAAAATAGGTATTAATATCGTGGCCACTTGTGATACTTTGATATTTTAAACACAGGTTTATTAATTTTGATCGAAGTCAATTGCGTCTATAGCTTATTGGCACAAATGTATTTTAAAAAGATATGTATACACATATAATTATATTATACTCGAGTAATTATATTATATTAATTTCCAAATTAATTGTTGAACGTAAATAAATTTTGTTAATTGAGAGTCAAAAAAACGCTTAATTCAATAGTGTCGAATAAAAATACTTAACATATTATTTGTAATTAAAATCAAAAAGTCTTACAAAATTTGATTTTCTTCAATATAAAATAGAGTTGCAATTCACATTTTTTATTTTGTATTTTAACAATTTTATTTGAATATTAATAACAATTTAAAGTAGTGATTGGAGATGAAGCGCAGGTATTTTTATTTTTATCACTAGATATTCTTGCCTGCACTCCTCCTGCCTAAGTATAAAAGTGATATTTGAAGTAATGGTCCAAAAGTTGTTATTGCCTTGATATTTCTTTAGTTGAATAATTTTCTATTTTATACTTAGTTATATAATAGTTATATGTTAGGTCTATAGCTATATCTCAATAATTAATTTTTTTACATTTTATTAAAAATATTAATTATTTTTAAATTTTAAATAAAATGTAAAAAAAAATCTAAGATAGC